TGTTTGTTTTTATTATTAGAGGACGCTTGCGCGCGTAATTATTCCATATTTGGAATTCGCATTTCCTTATATGGTAGGATAAAAATACCCCGTAAAATACCGCGTTACGTATAATAAGTCGTATTAATATCATTTTATTGATTGTTTTGATTTGATTTAACGATCCATTTACTTTGCATTATGTAACAGGGTACATACGAGTGAATAATGTCATGTGAATAATGCCCTGTGAATAACATTGATTTGGTTTTATTACAGTTTATCATCATAATGACCTATATTGACTACGTACCTGTGTACTATAATGATTACGTATACCCACCAGCGGGTGAAGTGATTGGATGGCTGTGTGCATCTGCATCGTTGATAATGATACCCTTATTCATGGTTATCGAATACTATGTTAATGGAACAGGGGACGGATTTATCGAGGTATGATTGATGACACGAATTTAGATATTTTTTCTACATCGTTACTAAAATAATGGCAAGATTGATTCGTGTTGACGACAACTATTTTTATGTAACATTGTTGCAACTTCAGTCGGGGAAGACCATTGATCCGACACGAAGGGGTGTGCTGCTTATGTTCATTATCATATTTCAATTTAGGATTTCAACAAAAAGAACGACCTTCAGTGTAAAAACATATTTAATTGTATATTGTTGATTTTCCCCACACATTTTAATAATGAGAAAATGATTTCTTTTTTCTAAAGCGTTTGGCGTCACGTCTGAAACCCACAGAGGACTGGGGTCCTTCGCTAGCTGTATATCGCACCGGCAAATACGCTCCAGAGAAAGAGATACTGGAAAATGGTCACGTGATTTCAACTGTATCTGAAATTTGTGACATCAAGTATTCTCCGAACGGTTATTACAACCCAATTTCACTTGAGACGTGTGTATGAATGTTGAATTGTACTAATTTGCATATATATTTGTACGTCAGGACATTTTGAACCAGCGCCCTAATACCATCATTGATTATTTGTCTATCTAATTGAATATTCATTCTGGTCATTCAATACCGACGTTGTTATATATCAGTATATCGTGTATTTGGCTTCATATATGTTTAAAGTTCTAATTAATTATCGCTGCCATTTGATTCGTTCTTTTTAACGTAATAACAAGTTCAAACTTTTATCCAGTAGAGAAACATTACACAACACAACACTACACTACACTACACTTTACTACACTGCACTACACTGCACTACACTGCACTACACTACACTACACTACACTACACTACACTACACTACACTACACTACACTACACTACACTACACTACACTACACTACACTGAAAGTTTGTAACCTTCGAAAGGTTTAAGTACACAGTTTAATCAACTTGTCAGATTGAAGGTGGCGTTTCGATGCCATGAATGTTGTAGCAACTGTGGTAACATATTAACAATAAAGGAAACAATTAAGTAGTACAAATGAAATTAAATTCTAGTTTCGAATATTATCATCATACGTATACACCACATACATTTTACGTGTTTTGTTATTTAGTCTCAGCATAAAATGGAATTGAAACAATTTATTGATGATGCATTAACGCATTTCACATTTCACGAATACTAATTGTCAAAATTTCAAGAAAAACTGGTTTTGCTAATTGTGCAAGATTATTGTGAATTTCCCTTAACACCAATTAAATATACAAACACATATACAAACGTTGCGACTCTAACGAACAATGTTGCACTTTTCTGATGTTTCAATTGTGAAATGATTGTTACTTGAATAAAATAATTTAAGTTTATATTCTCAACAAAATGTTGTTTGTATCCTTTGACATTTTGAGTAATATGTATACTGTGGTGAATGTTGCAGCTTCGACATTTGCAAGATATCAGCTCTGCTAACAGCTGAACGTCACCGAGCATTTCCGTGGATTCGATTATGTCTCTTACTTCCGAATTTATAGGAATATTTTACTAGTGTTACCACTGTGTGTAGCAAACATAGAACATCGATCATTAAGTACTTTCTAGGTTATTCCTCAGCTCCTGAGAGCGAGGTTATTTGTAGATATGCTGGCGATCGCCTCTGTGTCTGCGGAAGTACTATGGGAGATTGCATGATGGGAGTGAAAATTCTTTTGATCAATAAAATAATTTTAGAAAAGTGAAAATTAGAGTGACTGTGAAATAAAGGTTGGTTTTAAATGTTAAATGTCATGGAATCTAGATGAAATAATGAAAGGAAATTGAACTGGTATGAAAGGGAGGTAAATGTAGCTAGAATGCAAGGTCAAATTCCGGGGGTCAAAATACGTCACAATGCATTCATCATTGCGGCTGCAAAGTGACAACAACTATGGATGCAGTAAAAGACTTTATTTGCAGTTTGCGTGAATGGCCGGGAAAAAAACATGCAAATTCTGTGCTTCAGTAACAGTATCTGCTGCTTTTTTTGTTCAAAATTAACACAAGAAATGCTGCCAAAAGGCATTTCCTTCTAGTAAACAAAACGTTTATCTTGTAAATGTTATGGTTCTGTTACAGCAAATCTCAGAAGTATTGGGGCATCCAATTTGCAAACT